GGGATTTTTTCCCTTGATGAGATAGTGGACCAAGCTGGGGGGGGGGGGGGGCAGGGCTGGTACCGGGAAACCTAGCTATCAAGAGTTGTCCTGGAATAATAATAATTAATAATAATAGATAATAATAATAACTAATAATTATCTATTATTTTATTATTAATTTTATGTCTTCATTAAATTAATATTATAATTATATTATAATGAATTGTATTATATCATATTTATTTAATAATTTATAATTATTTTTCATTATAATAATAATTATAATGATAATGAAGGAGAAAGGATGTGTAGATAGAAACAGAATGGAAGTTAAAACATGGAGAATAAGCACACAGGGTGACAGGTGGTGAAGGGGCGGGCTTAGAGGAGAGGGAAGAGGAGGGACGCTAATCGCAGCACAGTGGCTAACACAGCTTAGCTACACTAGAGATCGTCAGAATGCTAACCACCGCTCAACACGAGCACATTTACTAAAGAGCACATTTTAAATAGTTCAAATATTTTAATTATTTTACATCTTTTAAATAATTTTACTTTGTTTTATCATGATACAATAAATCTAATGAATTTTTCATTCATTCATTTCTGTAATTTGTAGGTTACATCGTAACTGACGCTCACTAACGCTGAGTTACACATGTGGATAAACAGTCTAATAGATCAATATACAAAAGTATAGATTCTTCACACACACCACAAGCTAAAATGATCGATTAAATATATAGTTATTGATGATGATATATGAATGATGAAGTTATATAGATTATTGATGAATATATAGGATATGATGAATATATAGATTATTGATGAATATATAGTATTGATGAATATATAATATCTGATAATATATAGATTATTGATGGATAAACTATATAGATATGATGAAGTATATATATGATGAAGTATATAGATTATTGATGATATATAGATTTGAGAATATAGTAATTATTGATGAATTATATAGATTATTGAGAGATATATAATATTGATGATATATAGATTATTGATGATTATAATTATTGATGGAATATATTAAATTATTGATGAATATATAGATTATGATGAATATATAAGATATTGATGAATATATAGATATGATGAATATATAATATTGAATGAGGTATATAGATATTGATGAAATATCTAGATTATATGAATATATAGATCATCATGAATATATAATGATTATTGATATATATAGATTAATTGGATGAAAATATTATTGATGAATGAAATATATAGTTATTGATGAATTATAGATTGTGTCTTTCTGTGTTTGGTCCAGAGAGCTAACTGGTTAGCAGGTTAGCACAGATCTACGCTGGAACAGAAGGAGTAAGCGCTTAAAATAGCTGGGACCTGCTAACTAGCTGTCTGCCATGAGAAACCACCACACCACAAATCCCCCCCCCTTCCCCCCAAACACAATCACTGTATTCATCCAGTGTTATTGATTCTTGATTATGACAGGCTCTGTTTTGTTTGTTTTCTTATTTCATCAATTGCTGTTAAATTAATAAAGTTTGAAGATAATAATAATATTGAATTTCCTCTGTTTAACTTGTCTCTCCGGCACTGAATCGTGCTGTTGGTTCTGCGTCTCACTCCTGCTCCCTCTCACCTTTCCCTCCCTCTCCTTCCTCCATCCTTTCTGCCTGGTCTTTTCTCTCCGCCGCAGCGCCTCCTCCTCCTCCTCCTCAGCCTGCCGCAGCAGGTTCCTGCCGCCGCTGGCCGGCGGCCGCGGGGAACCCTCACCATGAACGGCCTGACGGCTCGTCGCACCACAGACGGCCGGAAGCACACCGAGGCGTTTAAATTGACGACAGAGAGAAGAAAATGAGAGAGAGAGACCGCTGAGAGAGAACAGCTGGTAATCTGAAGAGCACTGCCCCCATCTCTATCTCCCTGTATTCCCTTCAGGGTCTCTCTCTCCCTCCTCCCTCATGTCTCATCTCTCCCTGTATTCCCTATACCCTATGGGTCTAGAAATATATTAAAATAAATATTTTATTCTTTTGTTTTTTCTGCTCCTCTTCCTCCTCCTCCTCCTCCTCCTCTTCTTCCTCCTCCTCTTTGTCCTCCCTCACACTCATTAAATCTTATTATCATAATCAGGCTCCAGGAACCTCGTTTGGCTCTCCATCGCCGTCTGAGCGCGCTCAGTGGTTGTGTTTGTCGCCCCTCCCCTTGGCGCCGTCGGCCAATTGCCTTCCTCTGCTACGTCCTGTCCGTCAGCGCTCTGCGGCCGCTGGCCAATCGGGTAAGAGCGGCTGCCAGTCTGGCTTTTGATTGGACGAAGGGAGACGGAGAACGGCCGTATATAAACGTTCTCATTTTGTCTTTGTTTTATTGTTTCCTCCTTTCTTCACCTCCTCTCTGATGCATCTATAATCAATATTTCTGTAGCAGATCTCTCCGGTACTGATTATGGCCACGTGTCTCTGTAGCTCTGCAGAGCTTTTTAGCCTCTTTTTAGCCTCCTACTTTTGTTTTTGTGACGTGTGTTTTCAGAATAAAAGCAGACAGACGCCGTTGACTAGCTGGGAAACACAGTGGAGTGTTTAGCAGCTAAAAGACAGTAATTACTAGACTGGGTGTTGTCATGGTCTCTGGTCCAGGATGAGCTTTGGGTGGAGCTTGAGACCTGGGAACCGAGTGAGTGTCTTTGTGTGGACGGACACATAATAAACACACTACTTACTTGTTTACAGAGAAAACCAGATACACATCAGCATGTAAATGTGAAATGTAAAGGATCCAGACTAGAACCCTGAGGAACTCCACAACTCATTATTGGCTCAGTTGCTGTCTGACTGGTGGTTATTAGTAAAGGAGGCTGCTAAGTCCAAAGCTCCTGTGCTAGTGGTGGAAACACTGGTACTGAGTACCGATTTTTGTCCACATGAGAACCCTTACTTCCTATTGCGTCATGAGGTCACCAAGGTCTAGACCCCAGTTTTTTTTTCCGAGGGGAATATATACAGTAAAAGTCGTGGAATAATTTCCTAAACATAACTTTAATTTAAGGGTTATGATGTCTTCGGGGTTATGATGTCTTCGGGGTTGTGATGTGTTCAGGGTTGTGATGTGTTCGGGATCAGGGTTTGATGTGTCTGCTAAGTCTGGGTCCAGTCAGCTAATGCTAACTAGCTAATAGCAGCTGGTACTTGTGCATTCATTCATTCATTCATTCATTTAAATAACGTTTATATTTGTACATTTTGTGTCTTTTTATTGTCTCTATATTTCTCTGTTTATTGTATTGCACCATTTTACCAAACAAATTCCTTCCTCCACAGAGACCCAGCTGGACCTTATTAGACCTCCTGTCCCCCAACCCCATAACACTGTCTCTGTGCTGCATTCATGCGGTCTCTGAGAATTATGGCATTCACAAAATCTTCACTATTACTGCTTTGACATCAGAGCACCTCCTCTTTCACCTCCCTTTTCATTTATTGAACAAATTAATGAAATGTTCCTCTTCTGTGAACCAGATTATAATGACTAACCTGTGGGTTCCTGTTTGGTTCTGCAGGTGGCGTTGTACCGGTCCTTCCCGACCCGCCTCCTCTCTCGGGCCTGGGGTCGGCTGAACGGGGTGGAGCTCCCCACCTGGCTCCGAAAACCCGTCTACTCCCTCTACATCTGGACCTTTGGGGTCAACATGCAGGTCAAGACCATGTTTTCTGTTGATATTATCTTCTTAGTTTGTAACTTATTTTAACATTTTAGATTGGATTGATCTGGGTGGTCGTTTGTGTCAGGATAGAGTTATATATAGTTTATATATAGAGTTTTATATATATATATATATATAGTTATATATAACTATATAATTAAACAGTGTATGACTGTATACGTTTATGGATTAAATAATGCAAAGAATTTGCAGAGATGATTTTTTGGAAACAAGTTACTCGAGGAAACATTTCAGCCCTATTGGTCTGGATACAACTGTTCTCTCTGACATTCTGACCGTTCATATCCATCGATCTATTGATCTAACATTATATTGACTGATATATTGATCGCTAACATTATATTGACTGATATATGAAGCAGAGTTGTTTACTACTCCAGCGCAGGCGCGATCAGGACGCTTATCCAGTAGCTCCGTACGTGTCGTGATTGTTTTTAGTACTTTAAGTGTGTTTTTTTAACTTTTAATTCAGTATATTATACTAGCTGTGTAGAACTTTATATATCCTATGGATACAATGACTTTTTACAGACAACATAGCGGTGGACATCTTGTTTATTCAAGGGAGAGGCTGCTTTCACTACAAACAATGGGACGTGTGGCATTTTCCACCCCATACCGGAGGAGCTGAGGAGGAGACGGCGAGGCTGTGCAGAGCGTGATTTGCTCTGTAGGAAGGCTTTGCTAGGGCTAAGCTGGTAAGACAAGCCCCTGGTTCCGTCTGATATTATATATTA